TACCCACACTTGTACTCCACTATATCATGCTTACACAATAATCATAAATATTTTTTTCTTTGAAAGGGCTAATATGTATTTTTAGCAAATTATTGAGAAGTACATACTTGGCTGCATAGACTCGGGTCAATATAACAAAACCTAAAGCAATCATGAGGAAGAAATCTCTATTTTAAAGAAATGTCACCATGATTGGGCTATAGGCAATAGCCTAACTATGACAAGTTTGCCCCAGGATAGTGTGCTGATGCTGTGACAGACTAGACCATGTTGTTTTGGGGAGTGTTTAGAAGGATTTTCTAACTCGGCTATAAAAGATATAGGTTTTAAGAGCTCAGTGAACTGTTATATTGGTGCTTGGGATATAAGAATATTGAGAGCAGTGAAGACGAAGATGTCCTGGTTTGTGAAGTGTCAGATGGAAGCAAAGATGATACCTGGCCATTTGCTCTAAAAATTAGTAATTCTGGTTAGCTGGGGATGAAGAATCAGCTGTGATTAATGAGATATCAGAAGTACTAAAGTGAACACTTTGCTTTCCTGGATAATGGATGCTGGCTATCTGGAGCTAAACAAGCAGTTTTGATCAATGAGTGACCTGCAGCATCATGAAAGTGAAGTCTTCTGGGAAGTGTTTCTTCCTGGTCAGCAGACAAAAGCTGTGCTCCAGAATTGAACACTTTTGAACCTCCTGTTGGCTACTGATCTTACTAGTCTAAGTGTCACCTAAGTGGCACAGCTTTTGGAGACATGGAGGAGTCCAGGAGTGTAGCTGAGACTGGCACTGTATGGTTGTGGTGCAGGCTATGAAGAGAGTCCAGGAGAGGCTATTAGTGAAAGTGTAGCCCAGTTTCAGCAAGGCTCCCCAGTGTTTTTAGGCTATGAATACCAGGTGATGACCATCATGATCAGTAGCAGCAGTGGAATGGAGCCAGTCAGAACCTAGAAGACAAGCTGTGTGTATGTTACAGAGAACAGACCTGAAGAAGTGACCCAGACTCTAGGGAGGTGCCCTGAAGACAGTGAGTTGATTCCAAACATCATAATTTGAGTTTTTAACATATGGGAGTTTGACTTTGCTTTGTTCAAATTGTTCCTTGATTCTTCCCTCTTGAAGAAAGAGAGTATTTTTTTTTTAATTTTTCAGGAAACCACAGTTGAGATATTTTTAAACTTTTGTAAAAATGAAATTTGGGAGCCTCATAGAGAATTCTGATTTTAAAGACACTGGATATTTTTTAAAATACTGAATTTATAAGGCATGGGCCTTTAAGGTTTTTAAAAGACTTATATTGTGAGATATTTATTTATATGGTTTTATGGGCAAGACCACAAAAGCAAAAGCAGTGATATATTTATGTGTACTTGACAAGGGTTAAAAGGTATGGGATAGTGTCCTGTCAACTTCACACAAACTGAAGATACCTAAGAGGAAGGAACCCCAATTTAAAAAAAAATGCCTCCATAAATCAGGCTATAGGCAAGCTTGTAGAGCATTTTCTTAATTGCTGATTGTTTGGGGAGGGAACATCCAATTGTGGGTGTTCCCATCCTAGGGCTAAGGTCCTAGGCTCTGTGAGAAAGCTGGCTGAGCAAAATAGAGGTGGCAAACCAATAAACAACACTCTTCCAGTATCTTAAATCAGAAAGGGGCTTCTTATTCTCATTAAATTTATGCCAATTTTATAGCACTGAACATGTGTTACCAGGCCAGTCATCACTGTAGCTTGCAAAGTTCCTAGCTGTGTTAGAGTGATGAATGCTTTTCTCCTCTGGTAGCATGCATAGCATCTTTTATCAGTAAGAAGGTCAGCCACTGAGGACAAAGGTCAGAATTAGGTACCAAATTGTGTCTCCTGGATCTCTGGCTGAGGTATGTGGTATTTTATGCACTAGGGTCTGTGAGTGATATTAAAGGATAATCTCAAACAATGAAAAAGCCATCTGTGGTTCTTTGGAATTTCATTAGCTCACAACATCAAAAAGGGTCATAATTCATTGAACTGAACTCTATTTGCTCTACTGTGGTATCTAAATGGGGTTTTGGGGACCCATTATATGGAAACTTCATTTAACCTTTTTTCTTTTTTAAATTCATTACTTTTTTTGCTTTTAGTTTTCGATAAACCCTAACACAATTTCCTCTCCCTCCACTCCTCCCAGGCTCCCATCCATTTGCCCATATCTGCTCTTCTTCTGTTTCACTTCATAAAAAAGCAGGCCTCCCTGGTATATTAGCTGAACACAGCATTACAAGTTATAATAAGACTAGGTACAAATCATCATGCTAAAATGCTTAGTGAGGACACCTAGTATTATCAACATAGTAAAATGGTCATACTACCAAAAGCAATCTAAAGATTCATTGCACCCCAATCAAAATTCCAACACAATTCTTTAGAGACATTAAAAGAACAATACCTAACTTCAATGGAAAAAAAAATGGAGGATTCCTAAAACAATGCTAAACAATAAAAGAACTGCTGTAGCTATCACCATACCTGATTTCAGGCTGTGCTACAGAGTTATAGTAATAAAAACTGCATGGTATTGGCATAAGAACTGACATGCTGATCCATTTAAACTCTTTACATTTGTGTGTGTGAGTTTATATATATATATTATTATTATTATTATTATCATTATTATTAGTAGTAGTAGTAGCTCTGCAAAAGTACTTTTTCAGAAGGTTTTTAACACTATTAATCCCTCCACATGTTTCCTCCTCTGACTTATTCTTCCATCCTTCCCAACAAGTAATACTTTCTGATCCACAATTTCTCTTTCACACTTCTTATCACTCTGTTCTTTTTCTCCTCCCTTGGAAATTGTCCATGGTTCCTTGTTTAAGATCTATCTTTATATAATACAGACTTTTAAGGACTCACCTTTAGTAATCTTTTCCCTTATTTCATGGGATGTACTTTTACCAGGCTTTCTTCAGAAAATTATGTTCTCAAATAAAATGACATTAAAGATTCTTTATTATTTCCTTGGTTGTAGCTGACAATTATAAGGCAAAACCTTTACATGTCATTGATTTTTCAAAAAGCTCATATTTCAAGTTAGCTCTCTCTGCTTCTTTTCTGTGGTTTGAGATATAAGCTGCTACACCAGCAACCTGTTGTTCCCACTCAATATGTAGAAAGATCAAAAATAATTTTGATACTATTATTTTAATTTTGTTTATTTACTTTTGTTATTGTTGAGACAGCTCTCAATATGTAATCCTAGATGACCAGAAATGTACTATGTGGACCTGGCAGGAGTTAAACTCAAAATGAACAATGTGCCTCTACATTTAAAGAGTTGGAATTAAATGCATATGTCACCATGCCTGGAAATTGTTCCAGGAGTCCAAGAGTCCAATTATAAAATAAACACACAGGCGCTTAGATTATTTAAACTGCTTGGCCTAAAGGCTCAGGCTTCTTGCTAGCTGTTATGATATCTTAAATTAACCCATTTCTATTAGTCTATAAGTTGCCACATGGATCGTGGCTTAAAAGTACCTTTATCTTGCTTGTCATGGCAGCGGCTGGTAGTGTCCTATTTGCCCCAGACTTCCAATTCCCAGAATTCTCTCTGCTTGTCCCTCCTATACTTCCTACTTGGCTACTAGCCAATCAGCATTTTATTTATACAGAGCGATATCCACAGCATGAATTGATTTTAATTCTACTGTTCTACCAATATATCTCAAAATAGAAAAATAAGAGACAAAGTTTCATAGGAGATATATTCTTCAGTGCCACATAATTTATCTTCAAGTATCAAGCCACTGTGTGTGTGTGTGTGTGTGTGTGTAGTCTCAGTTATTTTGAGCAATTGTGTGTTAGTTTTTATAAACAATACTATTTGTAAGCTGTCTGTAAAACTGATCATTATGATAGGAAAAGAAACTTTAAAATTATCTTCTTGTTAGGGAGATGGAGGCTATATCAGAGTATATTAGAGGTTCTTGGAAATTCATTATAGCCAAGAAACAGGTGAAGGACCAATGGATGGAAAACTATTAAGTACTGAGGAAAGCTCTGGCTCAAGAATGATCAGAGTGATAAGACATCATTTTGAAAATGGGGAGGGATGAGAAGCATATCCCAATGTGCAGGCTAGTGCATACTTGCACCATAAAAATCTCTTGTTAAGTTAGAATTTTGTGTGAAAGTGCACAGATATTCTAAAATAAGTTTCTACAATCCTGAATGAAATTTAATTAAAAAGGAAGGAACGTCATTTTTAGCAGACTTAAGTGTGTTTTGTTGTTCTTGCGATTTTTGTTGTGGTTGTTTTCCCTTATGCTTCCGGATACTGGTCTCTAGAGCTGTATACACTTGACAAGTGCTCTACAGGTGTTCAACAATGTCATTCCAATAATTCAAGGAATTTTTAACAAAATATTCCCCTATCACCTATACCATCCTGTTCCAATAAACAGCAGTCATTTTCATAACTTCAGTTGACAAGTTAGACTAATATTTGTATGAAACAACATGTTCAATTGTTTCAGATCAGTCTTTACGCAAGGAGCACAACTTTCTGATGCTCTCATGCTGAGATAAATTTTGAAATAAAGTAATATAAATATCTTCCTTTACTCAAGATAATTTTATGCTTTGTAGATTCTCATGTTCCCATATAAATTCCTGTGTTAATTTGTCAATAATTCCTAACATTATTGCCAAATATCCTCAACGATTTCCTTTCTTCATGTCATAACATGGAAACTTTATGCAGTGATTACATCTACCATACTCTATAACATGAGATGGCCTTTCGCACTGAGCATAGCCACTATGTCATGAATCTTCTGTGACATGTGATTTAGTGTCACAGGAATATATTCCTCATCACATTAAAAGTAACAATGAGACAATGAAATAAGCTTGGTCTTGAGAATTGGAGTGAGCAAAACAACTGACTTTTACACCAATCTTCACTTCTCGAACCAGAATCTGTTATTGCGTGGTTTAGCATGTGTAATTTTATTACATACTTACCCTTCCAGGATAACACTTCACTTGTTGAGAAAATACCAGCTTATGTTAAACCTTTTGACTCTGCATAAAATAAAACAAACTAGTTCAATACGAGATTTTTTTCATTCAATGTCAAACATTCCCATGGTCTCAAACACTCATTATAAAACAACACTTAAAAATTATCCTAGTTTCACATCAAAACAATTATCCACCATGATCAAGTAGGATTCATTCCAGGGATGGAAGGGTGGTTCAACATACGAAAGTCCGTCAATGTAATACACCATATAAAAAAACTCAAAGAAAAAAACCATATGATCATCTCACTGGATGCAGAAAAGGCATTTGACAAAATCCAACACCCCTTCATGATAAAGGTATTGGAGCGATCAGGAATACAGGGAACATACCTAAACATAATAAAGGCAATATACAGCAAGCCAACAGCCAACATCAAATTAAATGGAGAGAAACTCAAAGCAATTCCACTAAAATCAGGAATGAGGCAAGGCTGTCCACTCTCCCCATACTTATTCAATATAGTACTTGAAGTTCTAGCCAGAGCAATAAGACAACATAAGGAGATTAAGGGGATACAAATTGGAAAGGAAGAAGTCAAGCTTTCCCTATTTGCAGATGACATGATAGTATACTTGAGCGACCCCAAAGATTCCACCAAGGAACTGATACAGCTTATAAACACCTTCAGCAACATAGCAGGATACAAGATCAACTCAAAAAAATCAGTAGCCCTCCTATATACAATGGACAAAGAAGCGGAGAAGGAAATCAGAGATACATCACCCTTTACTATAGCCACAAATGACATAAAATACCTTGGGGTAACAAGAACTTTAAGTCCCTGAAAAAAGAAATTGAAGAAGATGTCAGAAAATGGAAAGATTTCCCATGCTCATGGATAGGCAGGACTAACATAGTAAAAATGGCAATCTTACCAAAAGCAATCTACAGATTCAATGCAATCCCCATCAAAATACCAACACAATTCTTCACAGACCTGGAAAAAATAATACTCAACTTCATATGGAAAAACAAAAAACCCAGGATAGCCAAAGGAATCCTGTACAATAACACAACTTCTGGAGGCATCACGATCCCTGACTTCAAGCTCTACTATAGAGCTACAGTAATAAAAACAGCTTGGTACTGGCATAAAAACCGACATGTGGACCAATGGAATCGAATTGAAGACCCTGACATTGATCTGCACACCTATGAACATATAATTTTTGACAAAGAAGCCAAAAGTGCACAATGGAAAATGAAAGCATCTTCAACAAATGGTGCTGGCAAAACTGGATATCAACATGTAGAAGGCTGCAAATAGATCCATATCTATCACCGTGCACAAAACTTAAGTCCAAGTGGATCAAGGACCTCAACATAAATCCAGCTACTCTGAACCTGCTAGAAGAGAAAGTAGGAAGTAGTCTTGAACGCATTGGCATAGGAGATCACTTCCTAAATAGAACACCAGTAGCACAGACTCTGAGAGAAACAATCAATCAATGGGACCTCTTGAAACTGAGAAGCTTTTGTAGAGCAAAGGATACGGTCAACAAGGCAAAGCGACAGCCTACAGAATGGGAAAAGATCTTCACCAACCCCACATCTGACAGAGGACTGATATCCAGAATATATAAGGAATTCAAGAAATTAGACATCAAAATGCCCAACAGTCCAATTAAGAAATGGGCTATAGAACTAAACAGAGAATTCTCAACAGAGGAAACTCAAATGGCCGAAAGACATTTAAGGAACTGCTCAACATCCCTAATCATCAGGGAAATGCAAATCAAAACAACTCTGAGATACCACCTTACGCCTGTCAGAATGGCTAAGATCAAAAACACTGAAGACACCTTATGCTGGAGAGGATGTGGAGCTAGGGGAACTCTCCTCCACTGCTGGTGGGAATGCAAGCTTGTACAACCACTTTGGAAATCAATATGGCACTTTCTTAGAAAATTGGGAATCAATCTCCCCCAAGATCCAGCCATACCACTCTTGGGCATATACCCAAGAAATGCTCAACCACACCATAAGAGCACTTGTTCAGCTATGTTCATATCAGCATTGTTTGTAATAGCCAGAACATGGAAACAACCCAGATGCCCTTCAACTGAAGAATGGATAAACAAAATGTGGTGCATATACACAATGGAATACTACTCAGCAGAGAAAAACAATGGCATCATGAGGTTTGCAGACAAATGGATGGATCTAGAAAAAATCATCCTGAGTGAGGTAACCCAGACTCAGAAAGACAAACATGGTATGTACTCACTCATAGCAGGATACTAGACATGAAACAAGGATGACTTGTCTGCTACTCACATCACCAGGGAGGCTACCTGGAAAACAGGACCCCAAGAAAGACACAGGGATCACCCAATGACAGAGAAATGGAATGAGATCTACATGAACAGCCTGGACATGAGTGGGGGTAATGAAAGGCGAGGGTTGAGGGAAAGAGAGCTTGGTGGAACGGGAGATCCCAGCTGGATCAACAACAGAGAGGGAGAACAAGGAATAGGAGACCATGGTAAATGAAGACCACATGAGAATAGGAAGAAGCAAAGTGCTAGAGAGGCCCACAGAAATCCACAAAGATACCCACACAACAGACTGCTGGCAATGTTCGAGAGACTGCCTGAATTGACCTACTCTGGTGATGGGATGGCCAAACACCCTAATTGTTGTGCTAGAAACCTCATCCAACTACTGAGGGATCTGGATGCAGAGATCCATGACTAGGCCCCGGGTGGATCTCTGGGAGTCCAATTAGCGAGAATGAGGAGGGTTTATATGAGCAAGAATTGTTGAGACCAAGGTTGGATAAAGCACAGGGACAAATAGCCAAATGAATGGAAACACATGAACTATGAACCAATGGCTGAGGGGTCACCAACTGGATCAGGCCCTCTGAATGGATGAGACAGTTGATTGGCTTGATCTGTTTGGGAGTCATCCAGGCAGTGGGACCAGATCTTGTGCTCATTGCATGAGTTGGCTGTTTGAAACCTGGGGCCTATGCAGGATTGTTTGGCTCGGCCTGGGAGGAGGGGACTAGACCTACCTGGACTGAGTCTACCAGGTTGACCTCAGTCTGTGGGGACGGCTTTGCCCTGGAGGAGATAGGAATGGGGGGGGGGTCAGGGGGAAGGTGAGGGGGACGGGAGGGGGAGAACAAGGGAATCCGCGGCTGATATGTAGAACTGAATTGTATTGCAAAATAAATTAAAAAAAAATTATCCTAGTTTCAAAGAACTTTCTCCCTTTCTTGAAACACTTACTGAAGGAACACAGCTGCATATCCTGACTTAATGTAGTCTATCCCTTTGACATTTTTCTGAATCTTGGCCCCTAATTAGTTCTTTCATGTTCCAATTCAATTGCAATAAATGGTTTGAATTTTTTCTTGTCTTAGAAATGTATGAAGTAAACATTATCATGTGAAGTTCAACATGTTTTTAGTTACAAAGTGTCACCTGGTAAGAAGTTAAATCATGTGGGACATCAGTCTTTGTGAGCTAGATCAGGAAAACAACGTGAGATAACAACTAAGTGGAGCAGCCACAGAAAGGCTGAATGATTCCCCTTTATAGTGTCATTTACTAATGAAGGTATTGAAGACACAAGTTAATACTTAATCTCACTGAAACTTACACATAGAAAACAGATGTTAGAATATGTAACCACAAAGTAATGAATGTTGTAATATTTTAAGGGCTTTTATTTTACCTCAAATCTCTGATTTAGGAAGGAAATGTTACAGTATTGGAGAAGGCAAGATAAAACAGCAGAAGTTAAGAAACAAATCATTAAGACCTACTACCCTGATTATCTGATTTATCATTTGTTTATAAATTTTTAAATGTTTATCCATGTAAACTATCCTATCTTCATATGGGAAAAATGAGCTAATGATGACAGAAAAGAGAGATAGGGAGAAAGACAGTAACAGAAACTCTCTGTGTCTATGATTCTTAACATTGAACAGCCAGTGCATTTCTCACATAAGATTTCTGCTGCTCTCTTCTCATAAGCATATTTATATTATGCTGTACCATTGTGTTTTGTTCTATTGGTCCTATACTTTCTTACTTTATTAAATTATAACTTTATTTACTTGAATATTTGTCAGGATTTCCATATCTGCTTATGGTTATCACTGTGTGCTGAATAGCATTCTATACATATGTAAATAAGAAAAGGTAAAGGGTAGAGTTCCAGTTTTAAAAGCAAAGCAGGGATTTTAGAGATCACATTCTTGGTAATGAATATAAACAGATTTACCAAACACAGATAGAGAAGACTACACTCATAAGACAAAATAAATTAATCTGAATCAGATTTTAGATAAGAAAATTGGTGAGGTAAAAATACTTTATCTTCCTTCATTTCTTCAATGGTGGGTTATTGGTTGTCCTTTCTATAATACAAAATGCCCACAGCAAGTAAGTGTAAATGAAGCAGAAAGACAGAAGATTCTCCCAGCTTCTGGAGTCAGTTTACTCAAGGAACAATTTCCTTTCATTCCATTTACCTGATTTTAAATTTCTTCTTGGTTAAACAGAAAATGAGTGTTTGGATTTTGTTTAAATCTTCTGGTGTCTTAGTTAGGGTTTCTATTGCTATGAAAAGACACCATGAGCATAGTAACTCTTATGAGGAAAGGATTTAATTGCAATGGCTTACTGAAAACCATCTGCACAAACTCCAAACTCTGCTTCTCCATGTCTGATTTGAAAACCCTCTTCAGATCTGCAACTCCATTCAGCTTTGTTGATTACAACACATTTCATTCTCTTGAGCTGGTTCCATTCCCAGTTATCAGTGTTCCTCACTGGATATCCTATGACTCTGGCATTTCTAACATCTTAGGTTTTCCAAGGCAATACAGGCTTCAGTTCCACAGCTTCACCAAATGATATCTCTTGGCCTCCATTCAGGGACACCCACTGACACATGCCTGACCTCAGTATTTTCCTTATGTGAACAGGCAAAGTCCATAACCACTTTCATCTATGCTTAACTCTAAAGCCAGAACCATATGCCCAAAGCTGCCAAGTTATGCTGCTTGTTCAGGATGGAACATGGCCTT